GAAGCGGAGCTGGACGGAGACTTGCTGGAGGAGGAGGAGCTGGAGGAGGCAGAGGAGGAGGACCGACAGTCGCTGCTGCTGCTGTCGCCGCCCGCGACCGCCACCTCCCAGACCCAGCCGATCCCGGGCGGGTCCCTGGGGTCGGTGCTGCTGCCCGCCGCCGGCTTCGATGCCCGGGAGGCGGCCGCGGCGGCCGCGGCGGCGGGGGTGCTCTACGGAGGGGACGATGCCCAGGGCATGATGGCGGCGATGCTGTCCCACGCCTACGGCCCCGGCGGCTGCGGGGCGGCGGCGGCGGCCGCCCTAAACGGGGAGCAGGCGGCCCTGCTCCGGAGGAAGAGCGTCAACACCACCGAGTGCGTCCCGGTGCCCAGCTCCGAGCATGTCGCCGAGATTGTCGGTCGCCAGGGTGAGTGCGGCGGGGAGGAGGGGAGTCCAGCCGGGCATGGCCCCGGGCGTGGGTGGGGGAGCCGAAAGAGGCGAGCTCCCGGCTGCAACATTGAACCCGGCGAGTCCCCCAAATCCATCGCGAAGGGGTCTGCGAGTAACCGTGGGTAGATAAGATGAGAAGGTGGGTCACCTTGCGAAAACCCACGGCATTCCGCTCGTTTTGCATGGTGAAAGGTGTTAAGTTTCTCGAGGCACCCAATCCGGTGGTGTTCACTTAACTCGGGCTGTATTCGTGGAACACCAGGCTGGCGTGGCACCAAAAACCTCAGTGAGGTGGTAAAAGGTCGGGTCGGTGGTGGATTCGGTGTTGTGCACGGAAAGCTGCGAGATTGCAAGTTTGCGCAGCCGACAGTACCCAGCTCACCTTAGGGAGCAGCTTGTTCAGACGAAGAAATTGACAGGAATGGAGGCTTTGTACAAGAGCTCAGTCGAGAGGGAAGGGGATGTTCAAGTGGTGGGTAATGCCATCACCCCCCTCCACCCCTCCGCTATTCAGAAACTTAGCTTTTGAAGAGCAGCCTAACTCTGTTGATCTTTTTGTATTCCCTTTGATACATTTTAACTCTCGAAATGCCACATTGGCTGTCTTTTAGAACTACTCTAGTGGACACGATGAAGAGAAAATGGACAGTAAGGTAATTGAGTTAAGGAACTCTATGCGATTATACAGTTTTCAGTAAATTCTCTTCACTTGCCAGCACACCAGCACTGCAGACAGACTCCTCCCACATTGTTCAGACAAAGGACCTATGTCTCAGATTCCAGGAGTAGATTTGTGAAGGTGGGGGAAGGGGATGCCCAGAGTACCTCTGTAACCGACATTTTTAGGGAAGGTCCTCTGCTCTTTAGTATAGCTTCCCCCCAGCCCCTCCCCCCCAATACTAAAGGAGTAAATACTAGCCCAGCTGCCTTATTTCAATATAGCTTAGCCTGGTTGATGTCTCTTTACTGTTAGGTTGAGAGCATTGTTGGGGTCAAATAAAGAGAAATAATGGCGCTGCTGCTTAAATGATCTCATCTTTCCCAAGTGGTCTAAAGTACACATAAATAAGAGGTCTGTGGAAATGGTGGTTTCAGATGTCAGAGTTGGCTCATTTCTTACCTCTCGGATTTTAATAAGAAAAACCCGTCTGAAATCTGGATAAAGGAGATAGCTTATTTCAGACTGCCTGATGACTAGTACTTTAAAGGCACTGTTCGAAGCTGGTACCATTCAATTGAGAATTTATTCCTATAGTTTGGTAAATAAGATTCAGATGCCTTGTTTTTGTTTTGTTTTGTCTTGTTTGGATGGGCTTGGGGGCTTTTTTGTTCTTTGTTTTGCCATACTTAAGATACTAATCTAGGAGAGCGCTGTTTCACCTTACATAGAATAAAACTGTAACATCTCAATTTATAAATCCAAAATGAGTTGGCCATTCAATTAAGTACATCAAGGAATTGCTATGTTCAAGCTTCTGTTTTGCCAGGTGAGGGTTTATGGCAGTTGGGAATGTGAGGTTGATTCAGACAAACTTGCTGCCCTTAAACTAGGAGTCTAATAAACAGTGGAATGGCACTAAACTAACATGTCGTTTAATGGCACTCACTGTAGTGAGTGTGTGACAAACAGGCATGGCTTGTGAGAACATCAACCCTGTAGGGACTTGGAGAATGGATAGGACTTAAATGGAGATGAAGAAGGAGAAGGACTGAGGAACAATGTGAGGAAAGGTGTGGAGGAATGATCTCTAAGTAGGATTAGAAAGTTTTGGGAGTTTTGTTTTTGTTTTTGATACTTGGGGTCTTAAAAGGAGTGTGGCGAAAAGAGGCTGGGAAGGTGTCTATTCAGACCAAAGTACGAAAAACTAAATGCTATACTAGGATTGCACTGCCTGAGCACAAGTTGCTTCAGTATGCTTACAGTTTAGGATAACAAAAGAAAAGAACATTTACATTATTTGCCAGTTTGACTAAGGACAAGATAATGATATCTTTTGTATATTTAGTTAAATACAAACCTTTGTCCCTTTCTATATTTTAAGCACGAAAAAAATGATCCCTAATTGCACAGACTGTTGTCTTTATACAAATCCATTATTTAAAAGTAAACTGAATTCATTCTGAGTTTTTATTTTGTACCATCTCCTGAATTACAGCAAATGAGATAAAATCTTTAGTTTTTCTGGGCTGTGCTCATTGGTTAATAAGGAAATGTGGTTCTATTTATGTCTTAGGACATGGAGACAAATTGCTGACTATTCTCTTGCACTTAATATTTCCCAGAGCTGACAGTCCTGTTAAAAGGATGTCATCATCCGCTATCTTATCTTAAGAGCAGAAAGTCTTGTCCCCCTTTTCCTGTTCTGAACCATGCACCTAGTGGATCATTGACCCCTTCCCCATCTCCACCTGGCAGCCAGCACCATAACAAAACCTGTAAAGTGTGTTCCCACTCCCACCAGGAACAAGGCAACTTCTAATGTTTGCATCCTTCTATAGGGTGGTAATTTCTCTTTTCTCCAAGCGAATAAATGGGGCAAATCACTTAATTTACTTGTCTGCTTTGGATGAACTAAACTTTCATTCTTAAGGATTATCCATTCCTGCCATTTTATTCATTACCTAAAGTCGTAATTTTCTGTTTGTCATCTCTTAATTGGTTTTGGAAATAAATATGACACAGATGGAGACATTTCTGACTTCAGCTCTGAAGCAAAGGGTAGGACAAATGGAATTCTGAGTCATATAGACTAGAACTCATGTAGATGGCCTCTGGTTCCAGTATCTTTAAAAAAAAAAAAAAACAACCCACTGCTTTTGATAGTGATGAAAGTTGTCAGTGTTGACCTCATATTTGCACTCCCATATTTGCAAATGTTAAATTGGCCCCATTTTTTTAAGATTTGCATCTCATATTGAAACCAACAATACTGTAAAATAAAGCCATGAGCTAAATAAAGGGGCTTTTTGATAAGCACTGAAGTTTTAGAATATGGGCTAGAGATTAAACCTGACAATAGACTTGGGGAGCCTGGGTGGCTCAGTCAGTTAAGTGTCTGACTCTTGATTTAGGCTCAGGTCATGATCTCACACAGTTTGTGGGATCAAGCCCCACATCAGGCTCCATGCTGACAGTGCAGAGCCTGCTTGGCCTTCTCTCTCTCCG